TTTTTTTAATACTTAGCATATATTGTATACAATCTTTTTAAAGAAATGTTAAGCAGAAAATAGGAAAGATTTATCTTAACACGAAAAATAAAGTTTTTTTACAAAACTGCCCGAATATGATCTTTTAAGCGCCCTTGCGACGTTGCCGCTTTTACTAACTACCAGGTTCTTATTTATCGGTATCTTGAATTGTGAAACAAAAAAATCCTATATTTCCGTCACGTATTTTATCTGTTTGATTATTATCAGGCAATTTACGAGAATTTGGTAGTACTGCCCCTTACGATTCTAATTTAATGAGGGTTTTCTCACTCAAAACAGTTGTATAATACAAGTGTTTGGGTATAGAAATTCACCGATAGTTACATCATACATTTTGTTGGTGTATACTTCGAATACGAATTTTGTCGATGACGTTACGAAAATGTTCTCTAAACATTCGTGGGAAGGCCCTCTGTTCTTTTTAGAGTTCAGAATTTAACATGTCATATTCAACGACTCCTTAAAAGGTTGAAGTCACGTGATATAATTAACGTGCTCCAAAATAAGTCACTTCAGACATTTTAAAACCCTGGCACGCACTCTTAATGATTGACGTTAACTTTAAGGTAAATATAGTTCGTTGGCCCTTGACACATAAAATTTAAAAAGGCTGTCGTCGGTAACTTAAAAGAGCACTGAACTCAATATTAGATCTTTAAGATCGATCTCAAACAATTTTATTATAAGAAAAATTGGATAAACAGCATTCAATTCCCCACTAAACAGTAGAGCTCGTCTTTAGACTGTTACTGCGATCTTTTGATGAGTTAAAAAAGTAAATAAAATAATGCGGATAAGCCTTAACGTCTAGAAATCGTTTATTGATTTAGGCAGTTTACAATACAATACTAGAGTATGTACTTACGCTGCATATGTATGTGCTGCTTGGGCATTTTGTAGTCGGCTGGATAACATCTCTCGTAGAACTCGAGGTCGCTGACCTCGCACACCTCCGGTGTAGGAATTATGAGCCCCGTGCCTGATATCGCCCTCTGGAGATGGTGCTCCTGTGGGACAACACAAAATTATTAGGAAAAGAGGAAGGTAATAATAAAAATGACTAGCTTTAATACAACTTAATATTTTCTTCATATATCTTACAAAGACGTTAGTGTTCATCTGTTTTACAATGGCATATATAGTCCCAAAACTTATTAAAAATTAAAGTTATTGCTGATAATAGATAGCCCGGCTTGAAATGGATTTACACTAATCTTTGTTTTTATGTAAATACAATAAATGTTTAAGATTTCAAATACTATGCAATTTACGTTCAAGTAAACCATTTTTAATAGCCTTTTCTACCGCTGCTGTCGTGTACAATAGATTAATAACGAAACAAAACGATTTGTTTATTTCATTTTCTCGTGTTCCCGGCAAATGAAGATTAATTCCCCATCCGCTCGTTTATTTGTAACTCTCCGAGGTCTTGCGCCGCATTAGAGGCGTACAAGGAACAAGCATGTTATGGATGGATAATTTTTATTTTTTTACCCGAGAGGTTATATACAGTTCTTTGTTAAAACGAGCCGTAAAGAGACCAACCAAGCAGAATAGCGTGAACACAATTATAATTATTAATTCGAAAGTTTGTTATAAGTTTCTTACATATCTTTGTTATTATTATCTACAGTTAATTTTGGCACAGATTAAGAATACAACTTAACTAAGTTCTTTAATTCCGCGTAAACTAAATCGCGGAAAATGCTCAATGTTATACTAGCTTTCGCGCGCCATTCCGTCCGCGTGGTATTAAAAAAACAAAACTAAGTAGCCTATGTGTTCATCCAGACTATCCTCTACACATATGCCAAATAAATAACAAACATCCACCCATCCATCTAAACTTTCTGATTTATAATATTAGTATGAAGTATGATTTTCATTCTTTCAATGGATAAAATCGAATTAATGTTTATCCGCTTTTGGCATTTCCCATTGAACTAGAATAACATTTTTCGGCAATGCGTCACTGTCTGGCAAGGCATAATAAAGTGGAAAGCGTGGGCGTTTTAAAGCCTCTTAGGTGAAATATCGACATATTAACTCGGCACTGCCAAGGTTAAGGATGTTTCCAACAATTACATAATAAGTATCATATTATTTTTTTATGTGTTATTCCTAGGAATAACTTGTGATACTAAGAACGCGGCAAACGCCCCTAGAAGGCAGGGTATCATTCAAAGATTCTCCCCACATCCAAGAAAAATGTTCATATCCTAGTCTTTGTTTTGTAGAAATGGTTAGGGAGAGATGGTGTACTCATTAGAATAAATAATGTACATTGAATATAGAATAGTAAGCATGTGTAGTGACGTAATTAGCGTAACATATTATCGGCTCGCAAATCGTAAACGTTAGCGGGGCCTGCGACGATTGCCGATAAGATTGATGGTGAGTACTAAGCATTTCTTATCAGGATCCGGTTTTGTAAAAGGGACGCAGTATTACATACGATAAAACAGTGTTTTTCTATACTAATATTAAGAGGAAAGACTTGTATTTTTTATGTATTGAAGAAAATCAAGAACTGCTGGGCCGATTTCAAGAATTCTTTCACCATTAAAAAGCTATGTTATCATTGAGTGACATAGGCTACACTATTTATTTCACGCGGACGAAGTCGCGAATAAGAGCTAGTTAATATAAAGTACATGAAATCTTTTTAGTTGTTACATTTGTAATAATAGTATTTTTAGTATTTGAATAACTTTCATGGCACAGTTTTAGAATTTACATAACTTTGAAAATTAATGGATAATGTAACATCAACGGTTTTTGCATCTGAAAAAGGTCGTTTCTCGTCCCAAATAATTAAAAAAGAATGGTATAAAATAGTTTAGAAATAGTTAAATAGCGAGATTAAATAACTATAAACAAAAAAAAACAATTATTATTATTATTATTCTTCATAGCTAATTACAATAAATTGATAAACTTGTAATCATTGTATAATGAACTTTAGTAGCTTATAAATATAAGTAAGAGATCGCAATGTTATCGACTGCGTAGATTAAACAAAGAGTACACAAGTACTTGAGTACGTGAATTTTCTTTGGTTAACTAATTAGCAAGCTCGAATTCGACCTTTTTTCTATTTCGTGGTAACAATTGTAAAACTTTTAACTTTAGTTAAATAGGTTACATGACATTTGAATTATTACATCTATTATGTAGCCATCATCTCCACAACTCAACTCAGCGACAAGAGGTTACTGATTTCATATTTCCATAATTCTTCGTATCATTTACGGCCGGTCTCAATATGCAATTTTATCAATCGAAAATCCCAATCCGTACCCTAATCTTTTGAAATACTGTCTCAATAAACGACCGAACGATAGAAATTCGATCTAAAAACATGACTAATCTATTGGAGGGAAAAATCTGATTTCAAACACTTTTCGGATCGCCCTCTGTTTGAAAGTGACAGTTGTAGTGTTTCAATAAACGTTTTTGGAATTTTGACAAATCTTTATTTTACAATCTATGGAAATCGGGAGATTCTACTAATTTATTATGAGATTAAAAAATGGTTGGCTTGTTGCCGTATAGTGATAGCTGATAGTGAAAGTGATTTGGAAGTGTTAGAGCAACTTTCAGACTGGGACGAAGAAGAAATGCATTCAGGGCGATGGTAGTATTTCAAATAAAAAACTTTGCGAAAATCAAGCCTTTATATTTATTACAAGAATACAGTTTTTATATTTGTTACAAAAATAAAGTTTTTATTTTTTACAAAAATAGTAGTACAATAAAGTAAACAAACAACAACAAACATTGAATTTTTCGCTTATCCGTCTCCACTCTTCATTTTTCAATTTATTCGTGGTAGCATTAGTCAATCATCAAGTCAATTTAATTTTACTGCTTTCAATGAACGAAAGCAGTGTTTTCGTATCCTCCTTCGTAAGAGGCTTGCTTGAGGTCTGGAAATAATAAGAAATTACTATGTAAAGGGTTTATACAAATTAGGCGTGAATTGAAGCGTCTTCACGGGGGAAGTTTTTGAATAAAAGTATAGAAAGTAAAAACATGTTAAAAACTCAATAAAAGTACACTTACCATTGCACTTACACTTTCGATGGTGAATATTTAGTTGTTTATCAAAAAACACGAATAGAAGCTATATTAATTTTTAAATTAATAGCTGATGTAAATAACATTGACAACTGGTGTCAAATGACATTGACAGATAATTTATTCCTCTGATTACGCTACCAAAACTCCGAAAAGGGAGAATCGGTTGATGACAATTTGCTTGGAAAATGTTGAAACACGTTTTATTCGTAAAATACGCAACAAATAAATAATTACTTAGTACGTGAAAACCCAAAAATGTGCATATTTTCTTAAATTCATCAATAGGTTTACAGCACAGTCATAATGACATCTGCTTGAAATGGAACGCCAGGAGGGAACTTCACAAAGTACATCGATCCCGCTGATCCATTTTGAAAATCGGTCGATGTTTGCTATCCGGTGTTATTGAGACACCGGTTAGTGATCGACCAGCAGGTCGTTTTTTTTCTCGATTGAAGCAATCTCCCGATCTAGGATGCGTTATTGAGACCGGCCGTTAATAATGGACCCAATCCGGTCAGCATCACAATGTTTTATTACATTCTTTTATTTAGTTTTTTACATTTTTTCCATACTTAGTTACTACGTTAGTTTATGTTCGTTTTCTCTTATTATTTCTGATTGTGTTGTGTTGCTTAGGATTAAATGTTATTTGATTTATTTAATAAGAAATAATTTTAACTATGTTTTTCTAAAGTCGTAAATAGTTTTAGTTTTTACAATAGTAAAAAATAAAAGTTCAATACCCCTTACAGTACATTGTAACTGTATTGATGAGGAAGCAAGGACCGGTTCAGCGCTATACCTGGACGTACGGCAAACGCAACGTAACATAAGAATCGTCTAACAGTAGATTTACACTGACTAAACCTAAACAGAAGCATATCTCAGTTTTACATACAAAAGGACATTTTATTCTACAACCTACACACCTGACTAGCTGTTGCTAGCGACTTTGTCCACGTGAAAATTATAACTATAGCCTATGTTACTCAGCGATTACATAGCTTTCAAAAAGTGAAAGAAGAGTTATTTCAATACATACAAAAATTCAAACATACAAATCTTTCCTTTTTATAATATTAGTATAGATATAGATATAGAAATATAGATGTATCTCTCGTGGAGTTAAGAGACTAACATGTTATAAAGCATTCGTAGACTTCGCAAACATCTAGTCTAGCTTTAGCAATCAATAAGATTTTATTTAAGTCTCCTAGGCTGCTTGTTCAGCGGTAATACCTACTCTTGCCGACAGTGTTCATGTTAAGAAAATAAAATTTTAAAAATTTAATTTTATTCAACATGCACCTGAATACGTGTAACGTTGACATGAATTATCTTTGCAATATAAATTCCTCTGAATCGCTTATGCATAATCCAGCCTTATTATAATGGAACTGGAATTAATTTGATTCAATTCTATTCGAAGCGATATTAAATTGAATGCAGTTTGATTTCAACGAATCTATTGATAGCTAAATAATTAATAAAGTTACTAGCTGTGGCCCGCGATTCCGTTCGCGTGGAATGAAAAAAAAAAACAAAAGTAAGTATCCATGTGTTCTTCCAAACTATCCTCTACATCTATACCATATTCCATCAAAATCCGTTCAGCCGTTTTGGCCACAAACTCTAACAAACATCCATCCATACATCTGAACTTTTACATTTATAATATTAGTATGAAGTATGATTACATATTGTTTAAGTTAATGGTTAATTTATGAATTAAACCACGATCTATTTGTAAAAACATGCAGCAATTAAATTACATCGGACACTTTGACAAATGACCAATGGTCTCCATTAGTAATAGGCTTCAGGCATCTTATTGTTTAAACGTAGCTGTCTATTCTAAAAATACCATAAAATAAATGCATACCCAATTTGGAACTGTCGACGTTCCATTAAATGGACGCCA